ATTAAACCATGTGGGGATCAAGGAAAATACCTGGCTTGAAATATAACACAGTGTTCACAATTTCTCTGCTCTGGATTGTAACTCATTATTGATGTTGGCTATGAATTCATCACAAAACAACACAACTCAAGTACCAATATAATGGTGCATATCTCACGTAAACTTTAATGAAACAAAGAAAAAGTTGTGTTTATCGGCAACAATACCATACTCAGATATTTTGGTCCTCAACGTAGACAATGTTGACATGGCTAACTGATCATCAGGAGCAGTACCATACTCTCCTAAGATTTGGATTATAACTCCTAAGGTGTGTTTCAATAAGTCTCTTTTCCCACATTGCAGTGCATAGCATTTCACATTATTGTGTCATTCATAAGGGTGTTATTGTAGTTTTCCTAAAGCAACCAATTACTAATATATTAGAGAACCAAAAGTTGTCATATTACTAAATCTATAAGTTATAATGGTGTACTTTCCACATTAGTTGTATGTTGTGAAGAAATCATTACGTACAAATCACCATCACTGACTAACGTTATAGCTTCAGACGATAACATTGTATATTTGCTCAAATAATGTTGAAAACCCCGGGACATGAATTTAAACATCAAGTGATTAAGGAACTATTTAAGGATATCTGGTTAACCTGTTGCAATAAAAATGCAGAAAACAACTGAATTTGCGGCACACTTACCTTCTTCTTTTCTTGTCAACACACAAACAAACCAACGATCTGCAAGATGCAAAAACAGACGCATAATCAGATTCTTGATCAACATTCTCATTAGCACTAAATGAACCCATTCCAAGATGTGTGAGATAGGGAGCACGAAGCATAAGCCGATGAAGCTGAACCATCGAAACATATCGGTTTAATCTAAGCTTCTTCAACCCAGGCGATCTAGCCACCAGCCATTCCAATGCCTCAAAATTCACAGGGCACTCAACACAATCAAAATCAAGAGATGGTTAAAATTGAGATCCACATAAACACATTACATACAGAGAAATCCATCCCTCCCAAATCTAGGTCACCGGGACCTAATAAATAAACAGGAAATCAGTCGATACATCAAACAAAAAAATAGCCTTTATAACTTGAAAAACTAAGTAGAACATGATGGTTTCAACGTGCTTCTCACCCACCCATTTATCCCAATCTACTTTCACGGCTTTCCTTGCTATCAGTAACCTTCACCACCACTCTTTTTATATCAATATCTCTTTTTTAGTTTTATAGTACATTCATTTTCATATTTGACATTGCAATAGAAACATCAAAATACTGCAACCTAAAAAATGGTTTGAACAAATGTTCAAATTACATACCTGAATTGTCCATGGGGTTGCCAGCAGCTATAGACTCAGGTTCCTTTATCTCAACAACAACACAGTTTGACATTAAGAGTATCACCTTCATAGCATTAAGACGTCTTCAACTCTCAATTTATTTTCCTTGAGTTTTGTCTCAGTCTGTGCACCAACTTACACTCATAACAAAACTTGCACTATTTTATATAACTTGTTGAGATGTTAAAAGTCAGCATATCGTAAAATTTCAGTCTGGTGACGGGTGGGAACAATACCTGTATGACAGCCACACCATCAGACAATTTTGCAATTCTTTCGCTTAGCTTCTCCTTTTGATAATCTTGTTCTGCAGCCTGTATAATATGTAAACATTTTGTTAGAGTTGGAACCGCCATCTTAAATAACAACCATATTATGATTTTCAAATATAATCTAGCAGATACATTTATATTAGATGGTTCTGGCAACAGACATTGAATTAGTCGATCATTGTCAAGAGGCTCAACCAGATGTTCAACTGGCTTAAATTCCACTGCCACTTCAATTCCATGAGAAGTTGCAGTTCCTAATCAAAAGTATTTATACAATAAGTGCTTAATTAAGTTATAGTGGCGACCAACTTATCCAAAAACCACACCAACTTCCCGTTAGCTGGTTGGACCATTCTTCCTGGTATTGACAGGCAATCAGGTCCGGTCTCATCTATTGCCAGCAGTACAGCATCTGCTTTGCTTTCACCTGCTGCGACCACTGCCACGTTGGACGCTGAATTGATAACAGGCAAAGTGAATGTGATTCTCTCAGGTGGGGGTATAGGGGAGTCAGTAATAAAAGTTACCCATTCTTCTCTTTCATCAAGTGCTGGGTGATTTGGAAATAGAGATGCAACATGTCCATCAGTACCCAGTTCAAGCAGAATGAGATCGAATTTTGGGCAGTCACTAATCTCAGATACGTTGATAACACGGGTTCTCACTAACTGTCGGATGACAAACTCATAATCATCAGCAACTTCTTCTTCTGACACAAAATCATTAATAGAAACTGCATGACTGGGGACTATAGGCACCTGTTGATTTAACAAGCATATCAGCAGAGGAACTAATTAATATATTAATTAAGGTACAAGTTAACATCAGATACAAGTGCACAATATCTTTAATATGAATCTTGGAACAAAACAAAATATGAGCACAAATGCACAGAAGATAAATAAATAAATAAATAAATAAATAAATATACAAAACCAATGAGAATTGCAATTAACCAACACACACTCCCCCCAAAACTCATAACATAAAAATAAGAATACCTGCTTCTTTGTACAAGCATTTCAAAACCCTGATTTTTCAAAGGGAATAATCTAATTTACACACAACACTGAGATATCGAACGTAAAACAAACTTCAGTTTTGTTGGAAATACAAATCATGCTCGGGGAAGGCATTCAGAAAACTCGTGATGAGCTGCGAGGGCATGCCTTGTCCTTGTATAAGCACGTGATGGTATTTGTCTATCAAAGACAAAACAACTTTTTGCTCATCAACATCAAGTAATTGGCCTGTATGCATATCAATGACAACAATAGATGGATTAAATGACACTTTTCCATTTATGATCATGTTGTCAATAAGCAACCCTAAACTAAACCTGGGAGACATTCATAGCAAGTAAACCTGAGGGCTAAGACTGAAAATCCAAACATACTAAATCATTTTGTCAACATCATTAATTTCTGAAAATAATAATAAAAAATAAACTATTTGGTATGACTGTTGAGATTCAAAAGCCTCAGAATTATTTACAACCATGCAAGATACAACTAATAAAGATGATGCAAGTCCCAAATAAAAAAATAGGAGAAGGCTTAGCTAATTCCATATCTAGTTCTTCATCTTCAACATCCCCCTCTTCAATGACTGAATCATCTTCCAGTGCCACGGCAGCTTTAGCATACCTTTCAAGAAATTCTTCTTGCGTCTCTTCATATTCTTCAACCTCGGAGTCCTAATTTAAACAAACCCACACGATTAATTACTGTTAAATACTGATAGATTGAGTAAGCAAGAGAACATGTTAATCATGGCATCTTGTTAAACATGTTAATCAAGATATTTATAATTATGCTAGCCATTATTCAGAAAAAAGATATTAAATATTTATGTAATTAAATTAACAGTTAAAAGCAAATATTTACCAATTAACTTCATCTCTGACTCTGTTGTCAGACCAGCAGCCTCAAAGGAGCTACTGGATACTTGACACAATGCAGATGCCCAAATTGTGATGCCTCTCGCTTCACTCTTTTCAATAATACCTTCTACAATTTCAGGATAACACAAATAGCATGAAGATATAGCAAGCAATAGAGGCTTCCAGAGTGAACTGGGCGTACTTCGAACTTCAACAAAGCGAGAGAAGGCTGCCCGACTAAAAACAATTGCCAATGACTGTTTTACACCTTTTGTATTTAATAAATTACCAAAAAGGGCAAAGTGTAGTCTTAAATAAAAATCTAGTGAAGGATAAATTAGTAAAATTGGTGGCATTTTTTTTAATGGGTAGGTAGTTGATAGTAGATAGTAGGGGTCTGTTTGGTTCAAATGAGGGGGAGGGGAGAGGAGGGATTTTAATGAAGGGGAGGGGAGGGGAGGGGAGGTGAAGGAATTTTTTAATCAAATAAGTGTTTGGTTCAAAAGAGTGGAGGGGAGGGGAGGGAAGAGATTTTAATTAAAAATGTGTTTGGTTCAGAAGGGGAGGGGAAGAGTTTTATTAATAATTTACATTTTTATCCTTATGATTTTATATAAGTCATATTATATTAAAATGTGAAAAATTCGTGCGTATTTTTGTTGGTAATAAAATTTCTAATATTGAGTTATTAAAAAAATATTTATTTGTCACATAAAGTTAAAAAATTGAGTACAATCGATTCGACTTATAACTTTCCAACATAAATTAAACTATATGCCAATAACATCGTTTAAATTATGATGAATCATATAACAAAACAAATATATAAAATAACTTATTACTAAATATTAATGGTTCAAAATATTTAATAAAATGAATAAACAAAAATAAATAAAATGATATGGTTTACAATTTGATATAAAAGAAAATATGATAGAGTACATAACAAAATTAAAAGAAAAAAAACGAATATAACGAAACATAATTTTTTTTATAAAAAAAAGACAATGATTATGATTTATATTAATTATAAAAATTATAAAATAATTTGAAGGTGAAAAACAATTATAATAAGTTGATGAAAACAATCGAAAAAAAAACAGTAACGCAAAAGATAACAAATAGTTTTGAAATAATAAAATTAAACCGAGACTATTTTAGTAAATATAATAATTTTTAAATATCAACACTCATATTCTCTCCCCTACCCTCCAAATCCCTCCAATTCGGAGGGAATCAAAAAGTGTGTTTTGGAGGGATTTTGCTCCCCTCCCCTCCCCTCCTAAAATTTGAACCAAACATACTTAATTAAAATTTTCTCCTCCCTTCCCCTTCATCTACCCCTAACCAAACACACCTAGAAGTCATATTCTTAAACCCTAATCTGAAACCAAAACAGAAGACGGTGGCTCATCCCTTGGAACCGAAAATCCATAAAAACCAAAAGAAAAGAACACAAAACCGCCAATTGTTAGGGTTTCAATTGTGAGAAAATGGGAAAAAATCCAAAGAACGAGCTAGGTAGGGCTCTTGTGAAGCAACACAATCAAATGATTCAACAAACGAAGGAGAAAGGTCGAATCTACAAAAAGAAGTTTCTCGAATCGTTTACCGAAGTTTCTGATATTGACGCCATCCTTGAACAACCGGATGAGGATGATAAGCAGCTTCTTGATCTTCCTGTTCCTCCTCCCACTGCCCTCATCAATCTGTAAATATCGCTTTTTTTAATCGAAAATCGTTTTCTACGAAACCTATTTGTGAGTGTTTTTCTGAAATATGTGATTTTTTTGTTATGTGTGTTTGTTGTGAAATTAGGGATCCTGTATCTGGTAGTGGCTTTAATGGTTTGACGCCTGAAGAAATGAAGAAGGAGCAAAAGAATGAAGAGGCACTGCATGCTAGCAGTCTTAGAGTTCCACGCAGGTATTGTGTTTTCATTAGTTACTGAAAAAAATGATGTTTTTACCATACATCACAATTCCAACCATACAATTAAGGACTGTTTGGTTCGGTTCAATAGAAGGAAGGATAAAGATTTTCATGGGGTGGAAGGGAGGAAGGGGGATATTTCATATATGTTTTGCAATGTTTTAAAAACTTAACCGTAGTAAAGACTTATGGGTCATGGTTGATAAAACTGTGATTGAACTGCCAAAATAACTTAACCATAGTAAAGACATGTTCAAGGTTCATATCCAAATTCAATTTTTAAAATATTTATGTATCGTGTATGACGAGTGGATGGATTTTAATATAATGATATTTAAGTCTAAATTTTAAACAAATATTCTATCCTCTTCCCCTCCAAAAATTGAACCGACGAATAAAGTTTAAAATAACTTCTCTACCCTTTATTCCCCTCTAACCAGCCTGGTCTTTAATATTAGGTTTGCTGTGATTCCTTTGTTTTCAGGCCATCATGGAGTGCTGAAATGTCTGCTGACGAGCTTCATACCAATGAAACACAACATTTCTTAACTTGGCGTCGCAGCCTGGCAAGGTTAGTTCTGTAGCATCTGCTCTTCTTTTCCTCGTTCTTAATTGGTTTGCAATTACAAGCTGGGAATCAGATGTTAAAACCACTGGCAATTTTAGGCAATGGTTTCTGTTATGTCATGTACTTAAAGAATTTAGTTGCTTTCGTACATGTTTTGAATACTTTTTTTTATTGATGTTTTGGTAATGTTTTCTAGACTTGAGGAAAATAAGAAGCTTGTCCTTACTCCATTTGAGAAAAATCTTGATATCTGGAGACAGCTCTGGCGGGTTGTTGAGCGCAGTGATTTGGTAAGTTGGCGTGCTCTCCAAAGTTTTACCTAGAAATATCAACTTCTGCCCGGGTAGATTTATATCAATTATTGTCTTTTGAAGTGAATTATCACCATATGCTCTTCGGTAAGTGGGAGCATACATTTTATATAGCTTTTAATGATGGGAGTCTGATTATGTTATCATATCTAATAGTATTAGACACAGCTCCTACATATGTAAATGTGAATTCTAGCAGCACTTCTGGTTACCTACAGATTATTTCTTGGTGTAAAATACTTGGTCATTTAATTTTTTAACGGGCTTACTTTTCTGTTATTGAGTTCTATGTCACCTCCCGTCTGTTAGTAGCAGTGTTAGCAAAATCAGTGTTGTCGATGGCAGATGGTGGTCCATGGCGGACAGCCAAAATCCCACCATACCGGTCAATTTGCGGTGCTGTTATAGCAAGTTATGGCAGAAAACCCGGCAATATTAGCCGATATTTACCGTTGTGGCAAGCCCATAAACCACCATGTATATCCACCATAGCGGCCATGGCACTGCTATTTGATAAAACTGTAAAATGAAGTGTAATATATTTAGTTTAAAATATAATGTAGCTCCCATCTTCTATTAAAGATGGTTGTTATCAGCATTTTAACCTGTACAAAAGTAAGTGATTACATTGATTAGATTCTAGCTGTCTTATCTTTAATTTTGATGGTTCAAATAAAAAATGATAGGAAAATACCTGTTCATATTTTGGACCTGCAACATGTGCTTGAAACTAAAGGATGATCCTGATAGCAGTTTCACTTTTCAACTTCCACAACAAAAAAGAAAAAGATGCTCTCGTTGACCATAGATAAAAGCCTATTTTTTATCCCCTTAATTATTATTCTGTTTTTTCCTGTTAGAAATTTTGCTTATATTTTATGTAAGCATTTGGATAATTGGTATATTTATTTGTCAGTTGTGAGATTTTTTACTTGGGGTAGAAATATCCATAGCGTTGTAATTTTCTATTTGATATAGGCTCAGTATATTCTCCAGGTGCAAGAAATAGTGATTCTCTTATTTTTTTTCTTTTTCTTTCCAGCTTGTTATGGTTGTTGATTCCCGAGATCCATTGTTCTATCGCTGTCCTGACCTTGAGGTAAGATATTTTTCTCTTCCTTGGGGAAATTCTTACTTGATAACTGTAGAAATTACTAGGTATGTAGCAAATCTATACACAGATACATCCAAAGACTTTGTGCTGAATATTCTTTCACACCAACTTTGGCGTAAGAGACATACTATGTTACTCACAGTACTAACAGGCAGTTGTGAGAGATTTGGCCATATCACGTGTCTTTAATCTATGTAGACAACTTTGGACATTTTATTATTTCCTCTCATGGGTGTCATTCTTGTGTGCCAAGCATGACCCATTTTGCTTTAATTTCTGAACAGGCTTATGTAAAGGAGGTTGATGTGCATAAACGCACATTGCTTTTGGTTAATAAGGCAGATCTTTTACCTGCTTCTGTCAGGTTTGAATATCTGTTTTTTCGGTTTATTCTGTTTCAAATCATTGCTTCTGAATTTCTATTTATCAATATCCTTATTATTTATCCTCCATTTTTCTTTTGTTCCCTTGCAGAGTGAAATGGGCAGAATACTTTCGTGCTCATGATATTCTCTTTATCTTCTGGTCTGCCAAAGCTGCTACTGCGGTTTTGGAAGGCAAAAAACTTGGTTCATCACAGACTGATAACATGTTAAATGCAAATAACCCAGTCACGAAGATATATGGAAGGGATGAACTTTTGACCCGCCTGCAATCAGAGGCAGAAGATATAGTATGCAGGAGAAGAAATTCAGGCTCCTCTGACACAGGGTCATCGACTATTAAGTCCTCAGGTGAAAATACTTCTGCTAGTTCATCGTCAAATCATGTAGTTGTGGGATTTGTTGGATATCCTAATGTAGGGAAAAGTTCAACTATCAATGCTCTGGTTGGACAAAAGAAAACCGGTGTCACCTCTACCCCAGGAAAAACAAAGCACTTTCAGACATTAATTATTTCTGAAAAGTTGACCCTTTGTGACTGTCCTGGGTTAGTTTTTCCATCTTTCTCAAGCTCAAGATATGAGATGATTACTTGTGGGGTGTTGCCAATTGATAGGATGACTGAACACAGAGAGTGTGTTCAAGTTGTCGCCAATAGAGTCCCGAGACATGTCATAGAAGAGATCTATAACATCAGTCTTCCTAAACCTAAGTCATATGAGTCCCAATCCCGCCCCCCTCTAGCATCTGAACTTTTGAGAACATATTGTGCTTCTCGTGGGCAATCTACTTCTAGCGGACTACCTGACGAAACCAGAGCTTCTCGGCAGATACTGAAAGATTACATTGATGGGAAGCTGCCTCACTATGCTATGCCACCTAACGTGTCAAATCAAGAATTAGATTCCGAAGATTCCACTGGACATGACCAAGTTAATTTGCATTCAAATGTGTCGGATTCATCTGATATTGAAGAGTCTTCAGATGTTGAGACTGTACTTACACCAAAACTTGAGCACGTGTTGGACGACCTCAGTTCATTCGACATTGCTAATGGGCTTGCTTCAAACAAAGTTGCGGCTAAGAAGTCCAAGGAATCACATAAGCATCACAAAAAGCCTCAGAGGACAAAAGATCGCTCGTGGAGAGCTGGGAAAGCAGGGAAGGATGATACGGATGGGATGCCAATTGCAAGATTTCATCAGAAACCAGTAAATGCAGGTCCTCTGAATGTTTGATAAGGTCATTTCCTCTGGTTTATGTGCAACAACTTGGCTGTTAGCCCCATAATTACATAGTTTCTCAGGTGAACCAAGGGTTATTTTTGTAAGGCTTGCAGGAATAGATCATGCAGGCAATTTCTCTAAAGCTTGTCTTGCGAGAGGAAAAAGGTTTTCGGGATAATATTTTATTGTTTCGATTATTGTGATGAAAATGATGTAATATGAAAATAAGAAGATACTTCAATGGTCCGGATTTAAGTGTGTGCGTGCATGTTCTCTTATGCATGTGTTAACAAGGATATCAGATTCTGTTGATTGAATTACAAAGGAGCTGAAGCTTCAATGTGAATATTGACAGGAGACATTATTAGCTATTTTTAATATTTTATATAGTTTATAAATTGGAAGAGCTTCTCCAAACAAGCTTTCCAACTCATAGACCTTCTTGTTTGGAAACTGAGGAGCTTCTTGATATTGAACATCATTTGGTTTATAATGCATTTTCTGTAAGCTACCCTGTTTGTGTTGTATTTGATTTGTTTCTGTATCTGTTATCCCAATTTTCTTGTTAACCACATTTTTTAAACCCTTGTTGAGATTTATGTGAATTTCATCATAAACCCTTGCTAAGATTGATGCCTTGGTGGTTCTCTCATGACTTGCATGTTTACCCTTGTCTATTTTTTTTTATTCATCATGAAAATGGTTTTTAAAGTGAAATGCAGCCCCGAAGCTTGTGCTTGGTAGCCATTAGCGTAATAGCTATAACTTCGCCGAGTCTGTTGGTTTAGGAAGGATGAGTTTCTCATTACGGTTGAGTTCTGGTCACCATTAATGGTTTGGGAAGTATATTAGCATAGATCTTGTTCATGAAATAGTTTAAAAATGCATTAAAAAGGGCATTTAGAGCATATTTGGTTTGATTTGTTTGTTTATCTACTTGTATCAACACTTGTAAGATAATTTGGGAGGACTCGTGGAAACAGCTTATGACATATTCGTAGGCTATTTTGCAGCTTATATTCATAAGTTTGATAGCTTCTGAAAATAACCTACAACTTATATGAAAAAAAATTGACTTTATTTTGTCTTGTGTTGAAGAAATAGCTTATACTTATACGTTTATATGATAAAAACCTATGCTATAAGCACTTAATTAAGGTGTTTATCCAAACTGACTCTTTTTCTTTCACTCGTAATCGTTTAAGGATATTCTTGTTGCTTTCTTAAACTGTTCATTATCAACTACCTACCCATTACAATTAAATGCCACCAATCTTACTATTTTACCCTTTAAATGATTTTTACTTAACACTACACCATATCCTTTTTGGTAATTTATTAAATACAACAACTTTGACCAATAGCATGGTCCAATTTTGCCAAGTGGCAGAAGTTTTTTTGAAAACTTTGTCTTCCTCTTTCCCTCACTTTCTCCCTCTTTCCAATTTTCACTCTCATATCTTTTTCCTCTAAAAAAAACCCTAAACTGACTCCCCCCTTCTCCCTCGTCTCCCTTATGTTTCATTTCACCATTTTCTCTCTTCTCTCTATTTTCTCTGCAAACCCTAGCGCAGCCGCGACTTTCACCATCTTCTTCGAGAGTTCAGCGGCAAAAGGAGTTCTGACGGTGTCCCTCACCTTCAACCATTAATTACTACATGGTATCTTCTTTTTCTTCATTTTAGTTGCTTATGAATATTTTTATTTCTGTAACCAATGTGATTGATGTTCATGGTCATGTTCATTTTAGTTGCTTATGAATATTAGCAAAGTTTTTTGGTGTGACGATGTTTTTGGTGTGACGATGTTTTTGGTGTGAAGATGTTCATGGTCAGGGATCCTAATATGAGTTTCGATTCTGCATCAAACTACCTCCTCCATCTTGCCTTCAACGATAATGACATCTCTATGATGTGTATTAAGAGCAATGTTGGAATGATACAATATATAGCACAGGCAGTTATGCTGATTATGTTTTCAGCTCAATATATCTCCTGTTATCCTGCATATATATTCATTTTTCTGCTTTGCAAAACTACAAAGTTGCCGGTAATTATGCGTTGATTCGGTTTTTCGCGTGAATGGAGTTTGGTCTTTGGCTCACTGCGTGTTTAGTATACAGGGAATCAATTGTATTTCTATTTTGATTTAGTTGAAAATTCTATGATTATTATGTGTGTAATACTGATTATGTGTTGAGTTATGCTTATGCATCCTCTACCGTGTCGGTTTTATTTTTCTGATTGAAAGATTTAGTTCAAGTTACAGGTTGTATTCCTTAAACAAATTTAATTATAATGAAGTGAAATATATTGACATTATTGAGATGAATATAACTATGATGCAATATCACTTCTTGGTTTGTATTAGAATTCTTGAAGCTGTTTTCATGGAGGAAGCTCTCTCGGTGATGCTGTCGGCCATGCTGCGTAACCTCACCGACAAACTCTATGAGAAACACAAAATTGTTGCTGTCGAGGTTCTTTTCCACTTTATAAATTCATCACCTTTACATCACTTTTTCTCCTACTTCGTTGATTGGTTCCAACAGTGCTCAAAAATCTAATCTTTTGGGACAATCATTACCTCAATTTTCCCTTTTATTTGATGGGTGTTTCGGGTGATTCACCATCACAAAAGGGTTCATGGAGATTTTTCACTAGAAAGAAGCAGGTTAATTCTGCAAGTAAAAACACTAAACCTCTGCTTGCACAGGAGTTAACTATTCCTCATCTTATTGCAATTGGTAATTCATTCAATTCAACTTAAAAAGTTTTAATTTTTATCTTTTTTTTTTCATCTGGGTTTCTTGATAATCTGTTTTGGCACGTAGGAAAATTGTCTGGTTTGTGTTTTCATGTTGTTAACATGAAACTGGTGTTTTCTGTTTCTGAGCACATGATTTGGTTTATTATACTAACTGTGTTTTGGAAATTGAATTTGATGTGTGTTTTTTTTAATAATAAAATAACTAGTTGTTGGTTCAACAATTGGTGCTGGAGTGTATGTTTTGGTTGGAACAGTAGCTAGAGAGCATTTTGGACCAGCTTTGGCTATTTCTTTTCTGATTGCTGGCTTAGCAGCTGGTCTTTTTGCTTTTTGCTATGCGGAGTTGGCTTGTCGATGTCCTTCTGCCGGAAGCGCGTATCACTATTCATACATATGTCTTGGAGAAGGGTTTGTTTTTCTTAGTCATTTTCATTTGGTGTGTGTTTGGATTAGCTTATGTGAAACTGATTTTGAGGTCTGTGAATTTATTTAACATGGTCTCATAAAAGAAATTGATTACTTTGTTTTCAGTGTTGCTTGGTTGATTGGCTGGTCCTTGATACTGGAATATACAATTGGTGCCGCAACTGTTGCACGTGGCGTAACCCCTAATCTTGTACAGTGTTCTTTTAACTTTTCCGTTAATTTTTGCTTATTTTGATGCAGTTGCCAGTACTGCTGAAGAGGTATAGTGCATTGTCATGTTGCCACACACCGATAACTTCCATGAATACAGTTTTGTTTCCTTCTTACCGTAATTTATGTGTGTGGCTCTTTCGCATCCAATGGTTTAAACTTGCTGATAATGTTTCACTTAATCAACAGGTGAGAAATCCTCAACGAGATTTGCCACTAGGCATCGGTGCTTCATTGTTCCTATGTTGTGGAATTTATATGCTGGTCTCCTATGTTGTGGAATTTATATGCAATCGGGTAAGTTTATAGTTTTCGCGAAATTTATCAAGTTTCCTTTTTTGTCTCAATAAAGATAGTTTCCAAAGATGAGTTTACTATCTTTGACTGCAGTTACATTATAAATGCCGGAATGCCGGAGCTTGCACAGCTCTCATCTCAGCATTGATGGGTGGGATACTTCCACAGGTAAATTATCGGATATCTCTGATATTGCCAAAACAATTCTTCCTTATTTCAATTTGCCAAACGAAAACACTAAATATTAGTCGATGTTTCGCAGCCACGAATTTTGATGGCAATGGCAAGAGATGGACTATAGCCATGAGAGCAAGACTACGAAACTCTTCTTTGCACAAAAATGAATTTCATTCTTTTAATAATTTGTATCACATAATGTGTTTTAATAATTTTTCAGTTCTCCAAGCAAGTGGCACACTTTTTCTGCATTAAATATACTTTTATTTTGTGATACCTGCTTCATGGATTTCCCCTGATATATTATATTTATTTAGTATAGATAACTTCACAAACTTTATTTTTTTGTCTTTCCTTACTCAATCTGATATAATTATTTTCTTACAGGTGAGTCACCTTATGAAAACATTGGGTACATTATCTGGCTACCTTTTCGAATGCAACTACATGCCGTTATCTGATTCTGAACACGACAACTGTTTAATGACTCCTGACTCGGTTCTCGAACCGGTTGGTTTGAACCAGACTTTATCTGGTTCAGGAGGATATGGTGGTATGGATTGTAGAACCACTCTTGCTTGCACTGCAACTACTGAGATAATTAGAAAGAAGAGAAGTGGTTGTTCAACTTTTCGACCACCGTGTCGGCCAGCATGCTCGTCGGTAATGGAAATCACAGTGAATCTGATGAGAAAAACTTTGATATTTTGATTTTTATGATTATTATTAAATATGAAAAATTGATATGCAGACTGTTTTAATTTTCATTGCATTGGGTGATTATTTTGTCACATAAGCTTATTTTTTTAGCTTCTTTGATTATCTAAGTATTTGTTGGGGTGAATGTTTGCAGAGTACTGAGAAGCCATTATGGAAGAACAATGGACGTTCTCCTTTAGGTTGGCTCACCTTCTATAACAAGACAGAGATTTTGGACAGACGATAGCACATTCTTGGCCTTGGTCATAACTCAGGCGTTGATCGAAATGAGATTGAGCAAGCTGTCGTTATACACTATGATGGTATTAGGAAGCCATGGTTAGATATTGCAATGGGCAGATATAAAAGTTATTGGACCAAATTTTTGAATTTCGACCACCATTTTCTGCAACAGTGCAATCTTCAGGCGTAGTTCAAAGTTCGAAACTTTCCCTCATTCACATTTGTCGCGCCATTATAGCGGATTATGATTATGGCGAACTCAAACAGCCATGTATATCCGACATAGCAGTCATGGCGCCGCTATTTGATAACACTTTGGAATAAGTGTATGAAGATTAATGAGATGGATAAAACTGTGATTTTTGATAGAACATTATAAGAGTTTGATTCGTGTAGTCAATTCCACTTATTAGGATAAACTTGGTTGTTTTTGTGATTAGAATGAGTGTATTGCTTGATCATGTGATGTAACAGTGTGTGACCATGGAAGGAGATTGCTTCCTATGTGTTACCATTAATTTCCTGCCATTCAACTGAATTTTCACGTTTCTTTCCTCAATTACTATCGGAGGAGCTTTGTATAAATTTGTTTTCTTTTTATTCTTGTGTGCAGAAAGACTGGAGGAAAGAAGGTATAGTCAGTGAAGTTAAAGATCAAGGCCACTGCGGATCATGCTGGACATTCAGGTTGCTTTCTGACTGTGAGGAACTTTTTTGGAATTATTAGAATCTTTGTGAGTAGGTCTATTTGAAAATTCTAAAGACTGAGTGCTGGAGTTGCCATCTTAACTTCTTGAAACCCTATCCTCTGGTCATATAAGCAAACTGTTATTTTAGAATTGCACAAGCAAACTTAACATTATTTCTTTTGTTCAGTGTCTTTGGTTCACTTTCTTAATTTGATGCATTTAAAATTCCACCCACACGGGCTTGTATGTAGTTTCATGTTATCATATCTCTAACCATAACACTGTCCTCTGCAGCACAACTGGAGCGTTGAAATCAGCTTACGCACAGGCATTCGGAAAGAATATCTCTTTCTGAGCAGCAGTTAGTTGACTGTGTTGGTGCTTTCAATAACTTTGGGTGCAGCGGTGGATTGCCGTCATAAGCCTTTGAATACATTAAATACAATGGTGGCCTTGAGACAGAAGAAGAATATCCCTACACTGGCAGTAATGGTCTCTGCAAATTTACATCTGAAAATGTTGCTGTTAAAGTTCTTGGCTCTGTCAACATCACCTTGGTAATAATGCGTTTGATTATTAATTTACCGCTTGATGTGAGTGTTAACTCTACCCTAGCTAGCCCTGGCTAAGTTAATTACTGATTAGCAATTTGGTGTTAGCTTATTCACGGATTTATAAGAATGTGTATTTTTTCTTCATGTTGGCAGTTGTAGTTGTCTCAAATACGAAAGTTGGTTTGTAATTTTGAAAACCACTGAATTTTTGGATTTTGGTACATGATGGTGGTGCAGAGTATGGATATGCAAAATTTTGAAGTGTGCTGATGTAGAAACACCATGCTGCTGTAATTTGTTAAATGGAATTTGTAGCTTGCAAGTACTATTACTTTGTTCGGTTAATTTTTTTCAACTTGTGCTCAGTCCTTGGGTGAAATTTAAGTTTGGTATTATTTTTCAACTTCAGTTGGTGGAATTAGAAATTGTGGTATCTATCTATCTACATTTGACATATGTTTTTTGGTTTTATCTGCTAAGACTTGCTATTTCTTGCTGTTTTAAGCTTACTTTCTATGACATAATGTTCTATGCTGCAAGTACTATTACATATGCTGCAGAATTTTATAATTCCAAAAATAATCAACTTAAATCAAGAATGTCTAATGTTAATCAAACGGTTCCTGCTGCATGATAGTGTGACTGCATGCCTTTTCTACTGCAGGGAATCTTGATCCTGCTTGTATCAGGTTTTCGTTGGTTTTTGCTGCCATTATTGATCCTTTGGTTTGTCTATGCAGCAAGGATTGGTGGGTGGTGGTTAGACATCCTATTTGTTTTCAGTTGTAATTTTTAATTGTTGTCGGTTGAGGCTTTTGTATTTGTTTTTGGTTAATTGTTGGTGGAACACATGTGTGTTTGGTTAGTTATTTTGAGAATATCCTTAAGTTGTCAATCGTTAATTATTATTTGATGAATCATGTCCACTTGCCACTAAGCAATCGTAGCACGGTCTATGACAAAGATCATGCTATAGGAAGCTACACAACAACGATGTTTGTGCTAAAACACGATAGAAGAAGGATATGTAAATCATTCTCCAAGAATCGTGTCACGCGAAAAGAAAAAGCAAACAGTCTCGTCTTAATCATAAATTTTCGTTGATTAATCGAAGGTAACTTATTGCCATCCCAAAGTATAAAAAATGATCTCAATGATCATTCATTGCAAATTTGAAACAATGAAGGTTAAACAACCTCAATAATCAACATTCGCAATTCTAAAGACTACATAGACCAAAGATGAATCAAAAAATAAAATCAAAACAAAATTGAAATAAAAATAAGAAGTGAAAATAACTGAAGAGATTGACAATATGAAAAAACCAAATAAAAATCTAACAATAATAAAAACAAAAATAATGTTGAAACTAAAGGAGGGGCGGATAAAGAATCATGGGTGGTGATGATGAGACATAACAAGGGCCACAAAGCCCAAGCGCGGCCCACCAAAAAAATATCCACCAGATGAAACAAGATTTTAGCAGCAATATTAATTCCATTAATAAAGGTAATGAAACTTGAAAAAGAATTCAACAGGTTATTATGTACAGTTCGGTCAACCTTTTCTTTCACTTTGCTAGGTGATTTTGGAAATAAAATTAGGAAAGAAAACATGATATGCCCAGAATCCTCATCCTCATTGCGTGAAACAAAAAAAGTCATAACAGCATCAACACAATTTTCTCAGAAGAAAAAACTTCATCACATCTCATCAAATTAAAAATAGAGTCATAAGAACAACAAAATCATATCGCCATCCAACCTTCTCGTTTTCACGTTGTTATTGTTCGATTTCGCTTTGGGTTTATTTTGTTGTTGTTTTTGAGGGAGGAGGTTGAGTGTGAGGTGGTTTGGGGATGGTTTGGGTTGAAGAAGGAATTGAAGGAAGATTGGAAGAAGAAGGTGCGGTTCTGGGTTGAGTGAAGATTGGAGGAGGAAGGAAATGGTGAGTTTTGTTCAAGAGAGCTCCTTTTTGAGGGAGAATGAGGGACAAATTTATAGGAGAAGTCGTGAAGGTATTTGTGGTATTGAATATTCTGCAGGAAAGGATTTTTCCGATGCATTGGTGTATACGAGTTGTGAATTGATGTTTGTTTGGATGAAAAATATTGTTAACTTTATGGCTTGTACATGTTGTGAACTTGCTGTATGATGTTGCAGGTAATTGTGGGGAAAGTTGAAGCTGTTGTGGCCGGTATAGTGCGTTGAGTTTTGGTTCGTTTGTCTTTCACTGTTGGATATGTATATTGGAATCATGTAAAGTTTGAGTTTATGCGCAGGAATTGATATAAGTTTGAGTTTATGAAGAGGAATTTTTTGCATAATTATACGCATTTGATTATAATGGTAATAATAATCACATAAACTATTACTACTACATGCTCCGATTCGCAAACATTCTTTTTTTTTAACATTTTTCACTGAAATAATTTAGAAAAACGACTTTTATACAGGGATAAGATAGTAGCACTTAACAACATAATTTCTGTTATAATGCTGCTTTGGAAATTATCCACTTCAAAACGTAAAAATAAAGTTTAATTAGAGTTTACAAGTAAACAAAGTTGGAAGTAGAATTGGATAAATTATAGTCGATGATGATAAAGTAAATTGATTTCACTAAATTAATAAAGGAACCAACTATATTAATAAAAAATCAGAGATGAAGTCAAATAAAATATAAAATAAAATAAAAATGTCAGATATAGCTTTCTAGACTAGCATTGTGCATCAAATAATATGCTCAGCGCCCAGTGCTTATTCATCATTCAAATATCAACATAAACATTAAAAAAATTATAAGAAAAACGATTTAAAGTATTGAAAATTGAAATAGATCCTCAGAGATTATGCTTATAGTTGACATCAAATTAATTATTCAGGTCTCAAAGATTTCATGCCATCATGGGATCCATCATATTCATCAAAATCGATAACAGATTAAATCGTTTGTAACCTAACATTAAGAAAATTGGGGGAAATGGAGATTTAGCAGTCTGTTTATTCACTGCACCGGTGGAAATCACGACGGGGAAGCGACTCAACACGGCTGCGAGAATCTATGCCTCTTATAATCATAGATGATGAGACAAACAATGAATCAGTGGAAAATGAATCAAAGACATCTCAAGAGGCAATTGAAAATATACGAAATAAATCTACAATAATAAAGAAATGGAAAAAAGAACATGGAGAGAAAGAGAGATTTGTTGATATTTCAACTACAAGATGAAGATTAAGGCGTTCTTCTGAGATTTATAGCGAGAATAGATGAATTAGGGCTTTTTTTTTCCTTTGTGGAAAAGACCGTGAGAACCTGCCTTTTTTCTTTTTATGACGAGTTTATCCTTACTTGCTTCAATTCTTTTTGGAGAGTTTCTTATTACATTCATCGAGGTTCTTAGTACAGATTTTTTATAATATTTATAATTTTTAAAAATATATCTTTAAACACATTTTTTTTACACTAAAAAAAATTAATATGGATGACGTTTCATGCATTTATTTTATTTCAAAAATATATTTTTAAAATAATTTTGAGAAAATATGAATATTAATTAGTTCAGTGAATGTTTCAGAGATATATCTCAAAAATATATAAACAGTAATTTTAATTTTTCTGTCAGTTTTGCATATCAGATTATCATATTTTCTAAAAATATATCTCTGGAAGTATCTGATATATTTTTCAACTGCATGATCAATCTCCATTGTTATCATACTTCTATTTCAACTAAAACCCTCACTCCTAAAAATCTTACATTCTCAATCTTATTTTTCGCTCCAAATCTCCATCCTTTTGATTCAACATATCACAAGGAGTAAATATTGTTCATTTACATCTATATTGCTCACATTAATCATGAAAGTTTGCTGGAAAATTATGCAGTGTCCAAAGATATATATTTGGAACGTGTTGAACATGAACTTTTTTGGAGATATATTTTTGGAATGTTTATGTGCTCATTTTCTATCCTTTTCTGCAGCAGTATATTAATTTTTTTTCAATAGATATGGCGCACCCCGATAATATCTCAAAACAAGCGGTTTCTTCGAATGATACTTCACTGAATGTTAAAAGGGTTGGCGATGACTTTATTAACAAGCAAGAGTTTGAAAATCGTGATAACATGCTCAAATGGATTCTTTTGGTGGCATCTAGACTTAGATTTGGTGTGGTTATCGGAAATCCAGATAATGGCTTTGATAGAAGAAACGTCTTTGTGACTATGTCGTGCGAAAGAAGTGGGAGCTATCGAACGTATGTCCGGAATTTTAAGAGAGAAGACACGGGTAGTAAAAAATGTGAGTTTCTGCTTAAGCTTCGTGGTTACATGTTAGGTAACAAAAAATGAAGATTTAAGGTCATTTGTGGTTTGCATAACCATGAATTGTGCTTAAAATTATCTGGTCATTCTAGTGTATGTCGGCTCGAGCCATAAGAGATGGTATGTATTAGTGACATGACCTTGAATCTTTCCAACCTAAAAATATACTTGCAACGTTGAAACGGAAGCAAACCGATAATATATCAAATATCAAGCAAATGTATAACATTTGGTACCTCACTAACAAGGCAATTATGGGAGATAGAACTGAGATGCAACAACTGTTGGATGATAACATTTACGTGTCCCGGTATCGAACTTGCGACGATGGAGTTATGGTTAAAGATATTTTTTGGACTCATCTAGATTTGATAAAGATATTCAACAAGTTTCCGACAGTGCTCATACTTGATTATACCTACAAGACCAACAAGTATAGACTTCTATTATTTGAGATGGTTGGTGTTACCT